ACCTTTCCTGTCTTACTGGTCAGGCAAGGTTCCTCGACCTTTCCTGTCTTACTGGTCAGGCAAGGTCCGCCACCTTTCCTGTCTTGACTGCTCTCCTCATGGGTACAGTCTGTTTTGTGCTGTCTCTCTTAAAATATAGGAACTAGAAATAAACAGGATAATTGAGAGGAGCCCAAACAGCACTGGTAGGCTCTTCAAAATGGGCATTTACATTACTAATGCAACCTAAGATCACACTAGGTTGTGTTTTTGTTTTAGTTAGTTTTTGTTTTTCCTAAGGCGTGGTGGTGGTAGACAACAGCTTCATAAGGATAATACATACGAATTATATAGCATATTCATTTCCACTGAAGCCAAATCCTCAATCTTTTCCTCACACATGTTGCTGCTAAATTTTCATACTCTAATTCCAGACCAGTACTCTTGGCATGTTAAAGCACCCAGGATGAATTTGCATTTATTTCTTCTACTCAGCATCCTATTAGACTGTTTCCTTGTTTACGTCTGACCGAGGACATTTCCCATCTACTCCTGCAGAATGCTTAGTATTTCTCACAGGCTGTTAAGATCCACATCTTGTCCTTTATGAATCCTAAATGCTCACAAACCATCTGAATGACAGTTTGAGACCGACATCAAATTTTCCTATGTACAACTTGCAGCATCTGTCTTCTTCCCTTTAACTCAGTCCTACTTCCCACAATTCCACACAGATCATAGACAGCAGGTACCAATATTATCTGTAGACATTCTTGAAAGCCTCAGGTCAGAAAATGGTGAATGCCATTTCTCCCCACAGGGAAAGGCTCATTGTACTTCAGCACCTCACTCCCCTCACGCCCCCAACACATCTACCCCTTGTCTTTCTCTCTCTTTTTTTTTTCCTTTGGTGAGACAGAGTGTCAAGCTGTTGCCCTGGATAGGGTGCCATGAGGTCATAGTTCACAGCAACCTCCAGCTTCATGGGCTCAAGCGATCCTCCTGCCTCAGTTTTTCTATTTTTGGTAGATAAAAGGTCTTGGTTTTGCTCAAGCTAATCTTGAACCTGTGAGCTCGGGCAATGCACCGGCCTCGGCCTCCCAAGTCCTGGCATTACAGGCTGAGCCACCGCGCCCAGCATGTGCCTCTTATTTCTGAATTTGGCTCTCTCTAATATATGCCTGTTTTCTAAGGTTGACTTGCTCAATTGTAACTTTTTCCAAAATCCTCAGTGTCAGTGTGTGGCCCACCAGGAGTGTGTGCCAGGAACATGGCCAACGGCAGGGTGCACGCACGGGGTAACAGGCCAAGGGGTGCTTCCCAGCTTGCCTTACCCAGTTTGGGTTGCAAACTTTAAGGCATAGTGTTAGCATACACACATTAGTTCAAAACTGGTTTCCTTTCTTAAAAAGCTCTTCCAAATGCTATAAAAGGTACTCTGTCCCTTTGAGAGTTGTATATTTACACATCCTGCAGCAGTATCAAAAGGCTTTCCGAAAGCCTTTATCGTACCGTGCATTATAATCAGGAGACATGTATATAGCAATGTGCCAATGGCTGAAATGTACAGGTACAGAACCTACAGAAAGACAAAAACATGTATTAAAAAAAAAAAAAAAAAAGAACAGAACTGGGAACATTCAGGGGAGGGTGCTACCTCCTGACTAGAATGACAGATCACACTCTCTGCATCCAGACAATGACAATCCAAGCTTCCTTCAGAGAGGGAGGGAAACTATATATTGCCATGCCCACAGGATTTCTCAGAGTAATACTGAAGTGAAATGTCACTAGCCCCATTCTAAACCAGTCTCTAACATGGGGAACACAGTGCCTGCCCCAGGGGCTTCACAGACAGATGTCAAATAAACAACAGATTTGCAAGCAATTCCCATGTTGTTAAACGATACAGGCCATTGTTATACACAGGTCTTCTTTGCATTACAACAGCTGATACGATAAAGTAAGAAATATTTCACAGAAAGGAAGGAATGCACTCAACTAAAAGAAGAGAGGAGAGGAAAAAGTTTAGAAAGAAAAGAAGAGGAAGAATTAAGAAACCGCGTTCTTGGAACCACCAGACAGGGCTGTGTGAATCACCAGTCCGGAACAGCGGTTCTTACCCCAGGAACTCTGTAGGGAGGTGCAGGGGGGTACGGATTCCAGGTCTGGGAAACAGGTACAACATGCACAAAACTTCCAGGTGCAGAGTCTGCTCAGACAGGCCAGTCGCCATCCTCCACAGCATGCATCCCTGGCCGAAAAAGTACCTGTTTCCTTTTCTAACAAAAATATTTCTCCCTTTAAACAATTTTCCCAGGAGTATTGAACTTGTGGAAACAATAGAACCCAAATTATGCAGGAAAAAACCCTATAACTGTAAAGTTTTAATAATTTCTCCTGCTTCTACCAGACAGGGTCAGACAGTGCTAAGTATTTTAAAAACACATTAATAAGCGACTTCTTAAATAATGCTATCTGAAGAATTAACTCCATAAAAATTTATGAAATCTCCTCACTGCAGCACACACTTCAATACAGAAATCCTTCATTTACATGATAAAACAGCAGCACTTCACTATGCCAGCATGCTATTTTGCTCTACCCACCCCCAAAGAACAGGCATACAGAAGCAAGACTCACACCTCGGGAGCTTTCTCCAGGTTTTAATTTTTGTAAGACTTTACATTTCTGTCTCCATCAACCCTACTTGTATTGAAGTTGAAAAATGGGTTTAGTACAATTAGAAATTTATAATCTAGGAACCTAAAGACTGAGTCTAGCCCACAAATCACTCTTGCTTATGTTACAAATGGCCCCAAGTCATTGGCCAGCAGATTCCATTAAAAATCCATCAATAAAACACAGCTTTAAAGCTCTATTATTCTGAAGCCCCTCCAGGCTACAGGCACAGTGACTGTGGACATAAAACAAAGGGACCAGAACAAGAAGGTCTGACCTATTAGAGGACAACATAAAGGAGGTGGTTTCTGTGAACATCAGGGGCACAGTTCCTGGATGAACTGTGGTACCCAAGTAAGATATAAATCAAGAGTACGGATACAGGAGTGGAAGAAGGCTGAGGTCACTGCTCCCCAAGTTCACGAGCTGTTAGGAGACTACCCACAGGAGAAGGGGCTTTTTCTGTTCACTTGCAGGATGCAGACAGAGTGAGGGCGAAGCATGTTAGCCACTCGACCGACCCCAGTGCTGCCAATCGATGCCCAGAGACAAGATGACGATTAGCTACAGGACTAGTCATACTCACCGGCACACTTTGTTCTTGTCCTGAGAGCTGGCCCAGGAGACCCGGTGCCGCCCTCCCCAGGTCTGGTGAGGAGTACACTAATCTCGTATTCAGTATCTGGGTCAAGGTGTCCAATTTTATAACTCGTGGAATCCACTGGCTGCCTGTCATTCCAGCTTCCACTGGCTGTGCAGTACTCTACCTCCCGGGCAACAATAGGCCCGTCCCCATTGATGGAGTTGGCATTGAGCTGTATCCACAGGTAGGTCGCGCCCACGGAAGCAAGCTGAGGTGGGGCGATGGGAACAGGGGGCTCTGAAAGGCAAACACATCAATTATTAAAAGGTAGAAGACATTTAAATTTCAGAATTGAAGTTGATGAGGATGGTTTCGTTCAGGTTAACAAGAAAAAGCAAACTGATAAAGGTTTTACAACATTCAGTGTTGTGAAATAAACCATCTTTGAACACCTAAGCTTGTTGAAGTAGGCAAGAAGGTATTTGTTTTGTTTTAGGTATTTGTTGTGGCCTGCTTTGTTTAAGGCCACAACCCATTTTGCATAGCACATGCAAATTAGCATATCTGGTACTTTTCTTAATGGAAATTAATACAGAGAATATTCTCAGGACAAAAATACACTGATGTTGTTATCTATTTTAAGATACTAGTAACAAAATCTTAAATGAGTGGGTGTACTCATTTAAATGAGTCCTTTACACAGACATTAAAGGATTGTTTTTCTTCACTGTAAGTCACTGCATTGAAGCTCCAAGCAGCATTCCACTGTCAACCCTTTTACTGAAAATGTCTTCAAAAACCTTCAAAGGTACTAGTTTCCTATATCATTGAATTCAGTTTCCTTATACACATGTTTATATTCCAAAGATGATATCACCTTAAAATACATGCCTGAAATTATCGTTTATCTCATTATATACACATTTCTGGGATGACTTGCTTCCTAAAAGAGTATCACAAGGGACACGATTCAGCTTCAGAGAATTGAGCATTCCGGACAATGAAGTCTACCATTGCTGTCATTCAGAAAACTTCCAGTAATAAGTCTTATTAAAGCAGTGAATAGAAAGGAAAGCTCTGAAGCAAAGAGCAAGTTACGCCCAGCTTGATAGAAATCTGAGAAATCAATAGCAAACACTTTTTACAACCCAGCAAAGTCTCTCTTAACTGTTTAAAACCTGAGACTGACTCTTTTTACACATCATTGTCAATCTTGTGAAAAATGGTTTTCCCAGTCTATTAGTCAGATGCTGTATTGAAAGGCTCTCCAGGCACCAAATGAAGGTGTCCCATATGCCAGTGTCACTACAAAATGATATCACACATAATAAACGAGATCGTTGTACAAAACATTCTACACATATTTCTACCTCAATGAATTGCCACCTCAGAAAAACAAAGACGTACTTACTTTTTTCAAGACTATTTAATGGACTGGTGCTTTTTGGCATAATTTATTTTTAACTCATTTTGCTTATATAAATGCATAGAAAATAAAGCTTGGGATATCCTACTACCAGCATTTGATGGCTTGCTTGCTGCAACTTCTCCTACCCTCCTGAATGGCAGACATAGCTAATGGATTACAGCCATGATTCCTGCTGAACAGGGCCTAAGAAAAACTAGGACCACTTGAGGTTTGCACCTGAGATGACATCATGTTTATTCCTAGAGCAACTAAGACACACCAGCAATTTTCCCTCTGTTGGGATAGGGTGTCTTTGTTCTTCCACTTCAAGCTGTGATAAATCATATAGAATTTTCTAAATAACTAGAGAAATCTCATTAGACTAAGTTTTAAATAAATTTCAAAAAGTTTGAATAGATTTCAAATAAATAAATCTCAAAAGACCAAATTTTGAATAAATTTTATTTTAGGGACCACAGCCATAATGTACATTTACTAAAATTTGTTTCTTTTTTTTTGAGACAGAGTCTCATTTTGTCACCCTTGGTAGAGTGCTGTGGCATCACAGCTCACAGCAATGTCAAACTCTTGGGCTTGAGTGATCTGCTTGCTTCAGCCACCAAGTAGGTGGGACTACAGGTGCCTGCCACAATGCCTGGCTCTTTGTAGAGATGGGGTCACACTCTAGCTCAGGCAATCAGCCCACCTCAGCCTCAGCCTGGAATTACAGGGTGAGCCACTGCTCCTGCTCTCATTTACTAACGTTTTGTTCCTATTGTTTATAAGCTGGAACTTCATGCTGGTCCTTCATTTCTTTAAACAGTTCTGGTTTAACTCACAATGATTTAATATCAATTTATATCATTAAGCAATTCCTTGAACTGAAACATGGAATGGGCCATTTATAGGACACCCTAAGGCATTTCTGTAGCCAGGCTGAAAGAGCAGATAATGACCTTCAAGATGCAAAAGTTAGCAGCAAGCCTTGTTGAACTGTCATTCAACATAGTCAGAGGCAAGGTTACAAAGGGCCATGAGTACACTCACTCATTTAAGATATTGTTACTAGTATCCTATTTTCTTGAGAATAATTTCTGTATTATTTCCCTGTGGCTCAGTGGGTAGGGCACCAGCTCCATGTACCAAGGGTGGCAGGTTCGAACTTGGCTCCAGCCAAACTGCAACAAAAAAATAGCCAGGTGTTATGGCAGGCATCTGTAGTTCCAGCTACTCGGGAGGCTGAGGCAAGAGAATTGCTTAAGCCCAAGAGTTTGAGGTTGCTGTGAGCTATGATGCCACAGCACTCTACCAAGGGCATAAAGTGAGACTCTTATCTCAAAAAAAAAAGAATACAAGTACCAGATATGCTACACACCTATTTTTTTGTATATGATACTCCTTACAGCCCTGTAAGGTAGATGTTATTATATCTACTTTACACACAAGGGACTGAAGTACAGAGAGGGCAAGCCACTGGCCTACCCCCCATAACCAGTTCTGTGATTTTAACCAGCCTACATTAGGAATTTGCCGATAAAAGGAATAGCCCATCTAAAAGAGATCAATTTTATGTTCCACATTTTAAAAACATAAGGAAAAAAGCAGGAATCATTCTATTCTCCTAGAGAAAACAGCAATGGCTTGCTATGAGTTGTGTAAAAATGCCTCAAGGTACACCTCCAAGTTCAAATTACCCTGTTTGGAACCAAAAATTACCGTAGCAGCTTAATACTGTAAACTCGTCAGCCCACAAAAAAAGCATTAAACCAGTGAAAGGAAACTTATTTCCCTTCTCTATTTTCTCTCACCATCCTCCACTTTCTTGAATATAAAGACTCAATTTTTCAGTCATGCAAAATACAGTAATAGAACCTAACTGAAACATTACAAATGTTAACACAGTATTATCAGTACGGCTTGGATGATACGACTGAGCATTTTTATAGTGACACTGCTTCATTTTATTAACCACCCTGCTATCATAAACACACTGCCTGGTGAATATTTGCATTTTAAGTGATTTTCTATCAGTAAAAATTTTATTCCTTAAAAAAATTTATAGTTTGTAATCTTGGTATACAGAGTTGGCAGAAGACCTTGCTACATTCATTGCTTTGTATGTAACTAAATCAACATAAAGAAATACATTTTTCAAAAATATATTTGTGCACGTGCAAAATTCGTGCTTAAATGCAATCCGTCAAAATAGCCTGTCACCAAACCACGGTTAAGAAACAGACAAGGATAAGTTTGAGCTTTAAACAAATAATGAACTAAAACCATCTAGCATCTTCATTTTCATAGATTATTTGGGGGTATAAAAACACATTAAGTACCTTTAACTACCAACTCTGCATAGTTTGATATCCCGACACCTCCTTCTGTGCGAATCACGCAGCGGTACTTTCCGGCATCGCGTTTTGTTGTGTTCACGACATTAAAGGAAGCTATGAATCTTCGTGAGCTGGTCACCCTGATTTCCTTCAGAGGAGCGTCTCGTACATCAATGCCCTGAATCAACAGGTATGGGGACAGAAAGCAGCACTGTCAGCCACCACATCAAAACAGCAAGGCGCCTCACAGCAATCTTAGCAGGGTCCCTCCATGCAGATCTTGGTTCAGTGGTTTATTACCCATACGCAGTTTTTCCATGAGAACAGCTGGCCAGGAAACTGAAATTCCACCATCATCAGCACTTTAAAGGCCGAGGGATGCAAAATTAAGTATGCAGAAATTTCTTGCTTTTGCCCCCTTCAAGATATTAATTATGTTAGATTAGTGCAATAGGGGAAGAAAATCAATGGGAACATTCTTTATCTTGCTCCCAAACTACCAATCTTTGGTCTTTCCATACACTTTCTTCCTTTTTTAATGCTGAAATAGGAAACAAAATGAACTCATCCACTACCCTATTATTGACCTGATTTTTATATGAGCTACTAAACAATTCATTAAGAATAGCATCAAAATGTCAGATAGGTTTTAGAGTATTCCCTATGGAAAGAACAGGCCTGGAAGACCAGTTCAACCTGTGTGATGTTCTTCCTGGATATGCAAAAACCAACTTACAGCAGACGCTTGACTGCTATTCAGTGACCCTGAAATGTAACGAGAAGCTCCTCACAGGACCACGTAAAGCAGGTTCCCCCATTGGGACAGTTGTTTCTTTGATCATCCTCGTATATTAAGTAACCCTTTTAGTTATACATACTTGGAAATCCATTCTTTGCGTCTAATAGATGAAAGCCTCAAACGGAGGCTAAAGATTTAAGTTCACTCTTTCTTGCTTTTTCTTTCTTTCATATATATATATATACTCAAAGATATATATATTTCTTCAATATCTTTCTAATATATATCACAGCTATATTTCTTTCATATGAAAGAAAATGTGTATATATATTATATACATATATGTATATATAAAATATACATGTTTATAGCTGATATTTATTAGAAAGATATATTATTGAAGAACATATATATACATATATATATATCCCTTGGTGATTTATATGCAAAATCCCTTAAAAGACTTTATCTATGATATATATAACACATGATGCCAAGCCCTGTGTCTATTTTCCACCTAGCAACCATTCTTGGGGTGCCAACCAGGAGCTATCACTATGTCAAGACATTTTGCTGACAAGGATGAGCAACACAAACATGGTTACTGTGCTTGTGGAGCTTCAGCTGATTGGGGAACACAGGCTTGCAATGAACGCACAATCACACATGATGGCCATGGCGGTGAAGGGGAAGACCAGGTGGCTCACAGAAATCACAGCATGGACCAAGTCTAGACACCTATATGGTGGCCTGGGGAGGCTGGTTTGAGGAAGTGACATGTGAACTGAGATCTGAAGGGTGAGCGGGAGCTAACCAGGCAAAGGGGAAGGGTGTGAGGGAAAAAGCATTCTAGTGAGAGAAACAGCACAGGAGCCCATGACTGTTAGAAAGAGCTGGAGCCTTTGGAGGAAGGTACAGTAGCCAGTGGTACTGGGGGAGGTGGGCAAGCACCTGGGAAGTCAGGGACTTGAAGGCCATATTAAAATGTTTGCATTTGTAATTATGAAAATGCTAAGCTACAAAGGAATACTCATCTGTATTACTCGGTGATTTATATGCAAAGTCCCTTAAAAGACTTCATCGTGATATTTTGATTGGCAGCATGTCCTCATAGACACAGTTTAGGAGTTAAGCCTGAGCAGGGTGTCAAACCTAATAATCATTCAAAGGATTTAACCTTTGTAGAGCCTCACTTTCCTCAGCTGTGAAGAGGAGTCACTACAACTCACTTTCAGGGCTTCTGTGAGAATTCACAGATGTATAAAGGACACTGTCATAATGACTGGCACCATGCATCCCCGCCCAAGATTTGGACCACCTGAGAGATAAGTTCAAAAAGGCAGAGACTGTCAAAATACCACCCTTAGTACTAAAAACCTGACACTGCAGCATATGGCTTAGGTGTGCAGGAACAATGGGCTTGATAACGCTGAAGCACAGAATTAAACAGACTCACCCACCCAGTCACAGCTGCACTAGAAAATCACAAGGCTCCTATCTGTTGGGTGCTGCTGTAAAACTCACAGGATGGAGGAGCAGAGTTCCCACAGGCAGTTAGTTCCCCACAGAAAGGGCTGGGCTGTGCATGCTCAGCACTTCCTCCCAGACAGCTCCTGCTTGGGCAGTGAGAATGCAGGCAGGAGTGCTGCCAGAGTAGAATTCCTGCCACAGGGAAGGAAACATCATGGGTAGGGAAAAATAGTTCCACCAACACTATCATTATTTTCTGTAAAAACAGTCTTGTTTCTACCTTAAAATGTCATAAATTAGAATATGAAGTCCCAAATATGCCTTTGTGTACATGTGTTTTACCAAATGGCCTAAATTTGATCTGACAGCACTAAAAAGTTGTAAAACAAAATTTAGCATTATTAATTAATAGGAGAAAGCGTTTCCCTCTGTATTCCATATACATTCAGTCTCTAATCCTCACCCCACTTTGTAAATTAAATAATCAAATTATCTCTATTCCATAAGATTAAATTTGTCTTTTTTTCAAACTAGAAAAAAATCTAATCTCTGTTTTTTTTGTTTTTGTTTTTGTTTTAGGAGAAAAAAATTAAACCCTCAGGAAAGGCAGATTTAATGTCTCAAAGTGTTTGTTTTGTTTATTAACAACAACAAAAAGGCCATAGGGCTATCTATTTACTCACTTGTGTCTTAAATCCTGTAAAAATATACTTCTATAATAATACTCCAATATTTTTTCTAACAGAAACAGTGTTTCTCAAAATGATGTTTATTCAAAAGAGTTTTAAAGCATGTACTTGTTGACTGCTCACAACTATTTAAGGTTGTACAAAGGGCACTCAAGTATGAGAAAGCCTCCTTCCTGGATTTATACAGATGGTTATATGAGTATTAGTCATGGTTGCTCTGTCTTCGTGCTATATACTTACCCTATAAAATAAACAGCTTCAGAGTGGTAACTCTACACCACTCTAACATGTCAAATGAATTCCCAAGGATGAGTCTTTTTTACAATCCCATGTATTTGATCACACAAAAAGTTAGATTTAGCTTCCCCCTGAGAAATGGTACATAAGGAGGAGAAACCAAGTGCTAACCAGCTTTCCTTTTAGCTTAGGAGCCACACGGGAATAGAAAATCACGTGTCTTACTCAAATCTGCACGTCATTTTGCATTAAGTCATTCATACACGCATGGATTCAAGCATTCATTCAACCACTTCTTACTATCTTTTATGAGGCACATACTCTGTCATATATAAGAACATAGAGTCAAAAAAACAATTCTGTTGCACATAATTGAATTTACTGTCTGGTTAGAAAAACAGACAAGTTAGGCAATAAGGGCAATGCAGACCAATGAACTGCCTCCCACAGCACATAGAGGAAAACAAATTTATTTCTTAGTGAGAGGCCCAAGGTCAAGGGGTAGTATCTAGTAAGGGCCTTCTTGCTGAAGGGAACTCTCTGCAGAGTCCTAGGGTGGCACAGGGCATCACATGGCAAGGGAGCTGAGACTATGAACCTTGGTCTCTCTTCTCTTCTTAGAAAGCCACCCATCACATTCCCACCATAATCCATCAACCCGTGTATAATCACAGCCACATTATTGTGATAGCTGAAAGTAGACAACAACCCAACTTTATAACAACAGAAGAATGGAAAAACAATATATGACAAATACATAGAACAGACTATTATCCAGCCTTAAAAAGGAAGGGAATTCTGACACATGCTATGACAAGGATGAACCTTACAGACACTGTGCTAAGTGGAAGAAGCCAGTCACAGAAAGGCAAATACTGCTGGTGTGAAGTACGGGTATCTAGAATGGGAGAATTCATAGAGATGGAACAGAATGGCGATGAACAGGGACTAAATTTAAAAGAGGGATGAGACTTTATTCTTAATATTTTTTGTTTCAGGTGATGGAGAATTTTTGGAAGTAGTGGTGATGTTTACATAACATGGTGAATGAACGTACTTGGCACTGAAAGTACACTTAAAAATGGTCAAAATGGTAAATTTCATGTTATGCTTCTTTTACCACAATTTACTCCCTGCAGCTCAATGTCATAAACTCTGGTTTTTGGACATACATTCAAAAGGTTCCCTAAAATAATGAGTGCAGGTTGAAAGTGTATGAGTAGATAAAATGCCCTCAGTGAGTGAAATGAAGAAGGAAATAAGGATAAATATGAGACCCAAGGACCTGCTATGTCCAAACAGGCCCAAGAGAGGAAAGCAAGAGAGAAAAGCTTGATTTATCCAGACAGGGAGGAACAAATTCAGATGGAATAGCATTCTGGATATCTCAGAGATATTAGCTACACCAATGTCCTGGCATAACAGAGGCCTGCATAATCTTAAAGTTGATAAAAAGAGAAATCATCTTTAAATTCAGATGTTTACTATATAAACTTTAAATATATATACAGGGAGTAAATAATATAGATTTTTTAAACTATGCATAATCCCATCACTTTGAGATAAACAGCTTTAATATTTTAGTATACTACTTATTTTTCTGTTATGCATTGTTTTAATTTAAATAAAATTTGAAATGGTAATCTAAAATATATAGTAGGTTGTATATCTTCATTTAAACTTCCTGTGGAATTTTTTTACATTATTAGATAGTTTTAAAACCATCCTTTCATGTGATTACATCCATTATTTATATATTTTCCTATTACTATACTTTTATATTTTTCACTATTATGAAGTAAGATAATCCCTCTTTCTTAGTAAGAGATTTTAAAAAGCAAAATTATCAGGTCAAAGAGAATGAAAAATTATGAAGTGGTTTTATTAACAAAATGAAAATCAAAATGGAAACAAAAATAAGTTGCACACAAACTTTATGGTCATCCTGCATATTCATAAGAATCGTGTTATTTTTAATTGACAAATATATTTTATATATTTAACACGAACCCTGTTTTTCAATGAGGGATCAAATATTTAGAG